GATGGGGATACTGCCTTCCACTTACTGGAATTACTGTAGCTTTCTAAAAGTTTTTTTTTTTTTTTTTTTTCCTGGCAGTAGTAATCTCAAAGATTTTTGGTCTGGTGGTGTTCTCTTGGTACAATTGTTAGAGCTTTCTCTCCTTTGAATGCTTGTATTTTGTTTTTGAAGTTGTTGCTAGCACTCTCTGTCCCTCTCCAAATGTTTAGGAAGCCCCCTCTCTCTCCTTCCTCCCTGTTATCTTTTCACCATAAGTTGCATCATTTCATGATTTATATCTCTGCTTTATTTCCTCATTAAGTCACGAGCCTTTTCCATATTGCCAAATGGTTGTTCTAATTATCATTTTAATGGTTTCACGGTTTCATTATGGCCTATTCAACTTACTCCATTGTAATTTTCTTAGTCATTTCTCCTTTATTAGACCTTTAGGGTTTGATTTCCTCCAAATTTTGATTATTACCTATAACACTGGCGTCATTTGCATTTTTAATGCATATCACTCTACTTCCTATTTTCAATCATTTCGTTAGGAATGGTTCCCTGAAGTGGTGTTACCATGTCAAATGTTATTGAGTAGTTCCCCAGAAGGCACAAAGCAATTTATATTCCCACTGTAGACATTTTGATATCTCCCAGCTTTTGACATAAAGGGAAGTTGGTGCTACTTATTATAAATTGGAGCGTGTGTTTACTGATTTGCTGGGGGTAGAAGGAACTTTCGTTTAGATGATGGCATTGAACACATCCCCACCTGGGTTTGTTTTGCCACTCGTTTTATCCTTGGGCTCACGAAAGATCAGTTCTGGCTACTTAAATCCACCTTCACCAGACTCCATGATTTTCTTGCTCATAGGTAACAAAAACCCTTTTGGCAAGGGGGTTAGACCTTTATCAAAAAGGAGTTATCTTTGTTTAAAAACGGGTGGTGGCCTGTGAATTTTGTGTGTACCGGTGTCATGTACAGCAAAGGAGCTGTATTTTCTAGCGGAACTGGAACACAGAATATGGATGTGACAGCCATTATTGTCTCTGCTGATGTTCATTTCCAGCCTTCTCTTCTCCATGCCTTCCTCTGTTAAAGAGGTTGAGCAAGCTGAACTGTGGAGTGATCAGATTTACCAGAAAGCTGGAGCTCCCATTGTTACGTTGTTCTGGCCAGTAAAACGTTAGAGAAAATCCACTGGTGTGGCCTTTCCCCCTTTCTCTCTCTCCTCTTTTCTGAGTGGTGACATGGCCTTTCAGGTGTGAGAAGGAAACCAGGAGAATGGTAAATGGGGCCTTGATTTTACATTCCACAAAACCACCGCCTTCAAAATGTATTATGCTTAAATGCTTTTTTTATTTTTTGGTCTGGTCGTGGGGCCTGAACTCTGGGCCTGGGCGCTGTCTCTCAGCTCTTCAGCTCAAGGCTAGTGCTCTACCACTTGAGCCACAGCGCCACTTCTGGCTTTTTTCTTTTTGCTTATGTGGTGCTGAGGAATCGAACCCAGGGCCTCATGCATGCAAGGCAAGCACTCTACCACTGAGCCAACTTCCCAGCCCCTTAAATGCTTATTCACTTAAATCTCTGTCATCCAACTTGGTCATGTGTGGGACAGGGTCTCTGATGAACACCTTTGAGCTGTACTAGAAGGGAATTGGATCTTTTAATTAGTACTCATTAACTAGCATAAATCCCACTTTATTTATAAAGTTGCTATTGTGAACGCATGAAAAATGACCAAATTAGAGGTCAAACTTAACATTTGCCTGCTGTTTTGACATACACAGAGACAGGGTTGAGTTTTCTGGAATAAACATATATCAAAGAATACATAATACATATTATGAGCATTATATTTATAACTTACGTTACATAATATACAATATACATAATATATAAAATTATGTATGGAATACATAATATATTCTATATGTAATACAATATATATGTAATATATGGTACATATAATTATATATATAGCATATCTAATATAGTACATCTATATATAATATAAATCTACACATAATATATAAGTTATCTATGTGATTATGTATACGATATATGTATTATATATAATATATTGTATATTATAATATAGAATAACATATATTGTATGTCTAAGATGTGATATGTACAATAGGTATAACATAAATACATATATAGTATATAACATATTGCATATTATTTTACATATACACCACATATAATATATTACATATAATGTGATGTATTCTGCTCATGATATTTGGCAATGGGAGAACAGAATTTTGAGGGCAATGAAAGGTTTTCTGCACAAAGAACTCGAATTCCATTCGGCAAATAAGATACGCATCTTGGAACCCATCCACTTATGACTTCCTTATTCCCCCATGACTCATCCACTGCTCGGGCAGGGACGATGGGAATATAACACAGAAGAAGGAAAAGATGTTCCCTGACTTTGGCCCGGGGGTTGTACTTCTACTGTAGGCATTGCACCAGAGAAGAGATCTTTCGTATAAACAAATATTTTCTTTCTTTCTTCCTAAGTCATGGGGCCTGAACTCTGGGCCTGGGCACTGTCCCTCCGCTCTTCAGCTCAAGGTGAGCGCTCTACCACTTGAGCCACAGCGCCACTTCCCGTTTTTCTGAGTGGTTTATTGGAGATCAGAGTCTCACAGACTTTCCTGCCCAAGCTGGCTTAGAACCATGATCCTCAGATCTCAGCCTCCTGAGTAGCTAGGATGACAGGCATGAGCCACCGGCGCCCGGCTCATGTTTTCTTTCTTATTTATTAAAAAATATTAAATCATCTTCAAGCAGTTGTACAAAGGAGCTGTCATTCAACGAAGCAGTTTATGAGTACACTATATCTTGGTCAAGGTCACCCCTTCCAGCTTGCTGACCCCTCTCTGCCCTCCCCGCCCGCCCCTTCTCTCCCTGTCGGATCGACACTGGATTTTTTGACTGCATTCTCTCCTTCTTCCAAGACCATAGAGGAGTAAGAGAAATGAATGGAAAGATGGGCAAAATAAAGGAAAAGGAGGTACTCACATCCCACAGATGATAAAGCACACAAGTGCCCCTGGAGGTTTTTCTCGACTGGTGTTTTACGACACTGAACACCGCCTGCAATAAGCGGACCGACTTGAGGGATATGAAGCTATTTTTACATTGTAAAGACGCCATTCCTTTCACTGACCTGCAGCCCATCCATGGGGCACGCGGTATGCGCTTGATTTCCCCTGGGAGCTGTCCTGTTCTGGGCTCTGCTGCGCCCTGGGTTTCCAGTGTGTTACAAGGCCTGGGTGCTACCCCAGCGTGCGCGACAGACCCTCTGCCCACATCCTCCCTGGCCGGCCGCCTCCTGCCCCAGCGCCTCCCCTGCCTCCTCACCAAGCCAACCAACCCTCGGTGCAGCCGGAGGGGCCTCGTGAAGAGGGCTGGGGGAGAAGAAGGAGACCTCGGCGCTTGAACACGTGGGAAGAAGAGACTCTGGGACTTTTTTTTTCCTCTCGCTTTAAAAAGCCATCTTTTCTATTGACTTAGGAAGAAAACAATTTGCTCAACAGCTGTCTTTCCCCCTGCGACGCGGCTGTTTGTACAGGCAGCCTCTTCCCTCCACTCCACTCTGAAGTAACGTCTCCTTTCTGTAGGAAACAGGTGTCAAAACATGCAGGGGGAAAAAAAAATCCAATTTTCCAGCAGCTGAGATAAGTCAGAGGACTTCCTGCGTTTACCTAGAGAGGCTCAGGACTTGCCCACTTGGCAGCTCGGTTTCTCCTTGGGCTGTTTTGGGACCCATCGTTAAAAATGCTGACTGCCCCGTTCCTGTCCTGCGTGTCCTCTCCAGTACATCATTACTCTTTGCATGTGACAGCCTCTGTTTTAAAATGGTATACGTGTATGGGATAACCTGTGGTGTGTTTATGCATATGTTCAATGTGTCACGCTCAAAATAAGCTAACGGTGTCCATCATATCAAATACTCATTTCTTCATGGGAGGAAGAGTCAAATCCTTAATTTTATTTTAAAAGGACAGCAAATTGTGATGACCTATATTACTAAATTGTGTAACATAATATTGTTGTAGAAAATACTACAATTGGGCATCAGTGGCTCATGCCTGTAATCCTAGCTACTCTGGAGACTGAGATCTAGGAGACAAAGGTTTGAAGTCAGCCCAAGCAGAAAAGTCCATGAGAATCCATCTCCAAAATAGCTAGCAAATGGCATTTCAGGAGGTATGTCTCAAGAGTTAGAGCACCAGCCTAGCAAGCAAGCTGAGCATGCCTGGCAATGACTTCCAACCTTCAGTATCCACAATAAAACAACAGCAGCAGCAGCAACAACAATAATAATCCATTATCAATTACTTTTTATTTAGGCAAAATACAACGATTTAAAAACACAACCTCTGATCTTGTCTGAATCCTGTCACATTAAGCATGTTTATGAGGAAGAGATAAAAAAGAATGTTTTAAAGATATGCCTCGAATGCTGGGCGCTGGTGGCTCTCGCCGCTCATCCTAGCTACACAGGAGGCTGGGATCTGAGGATCACAGTTTGAAATCTGACCGGGCAGGAAAGTCCATGAGACTCTTTGCTCCAATGAACTTCCCCAAACAAGCTGGAAGTGGAGCTGTGGGTCAAGTGGTAGAGCGCTAACCTTGAGCAATAAAGCTCAGGGGCATTGCCCAGGCCCTGAGTTCAAACCCCAGGACAGGCACAAAAAGATAGACAGACAGACAGATAGATAGGGAAGGAAAGGAACGTGGAGGCTTAGTGTGCCATGACAGGAGGTGTCTTGGTCTTGCTTCCATCCCTGCTCATTCATCTTACTAGGTTCCCTGGCCTGCACAGACCGAGGGCCACCCATCCACAAAGTATGTGACCGTGACTGACGAGTCCCCTTAGTTCTCAGTGGTTGCCATAGGCAGGGGTCTGCAGGTGCTGCCTCCCAGTGGGAAATCACCCCCTGCCCCCCACCTCGGTTCCCATCACGTAGTCACCGTGGGCTTTGTTGCCTGGCAGGGTCTGCAGTTTGGAACCAGCGAACTCCAGGAGATGGGAGCCATGTTCTGCTTGGGCCTCCTCATCTTGGAGCTCAAGTCCGTCAGCTGCAGTCATCAGCTCCTGGCCCGGGCCGCCGCGCTGCTGAACGGCGAGGAGGACGCACTGGACCAGCACCTTCAGAGGTAAGACGCTCTTGGGGGACGCCAGGGCCTTGGACCCCTCGGGATCCGCACGCGAGGACGACCGTCAGAAGCAGACGGTCCCACTGCGCTCCGTGGAACGCCGGCCGCAGGACGGGCCTGGCAAACCCCACGTACTCACGAATACCTACGACTAGCACCCCCCGGCTCACGATAAAGACGATGCCCCTGGGTAACACGCGCACACCTCTGCAGGCACACACCTGCTGGATGTAGGTCGGCACGCACAGCACTATCGTCTCTGCGCCACGACTGGACTTAAAAAGCAAAAGCCATCTGACACGTTTCCCTCCCCTTCTCCAAGTTGAGGGGGTGCCCTCTTCCCCTGCCCACCCCCCATGCACATGGTTAACCTTCGGCCCTGAGAGCCGGACTCAGGAGGCAGGGAAAGAGCGGACAGCAGAGACCTGGGGAAGATGAAGGGCCATCTTACATCTAACTCACTTTTTTTTTCCTATTGTTTTTTTTTTTCCTCCTGCTAACGTTAGTCTACTGTTCAGATAACTTCCTCCCAACCGTGCCAGCCAAACCTAGAAAGATCTGGCAGCCTACACAGAGACCGCTCTGGAAGGTTCCAGAGTCTCAGAGACTTAATTACCTAAATGCTGTAATTACCGTGCTCAGCACACACCAGACCAGAGATCAGACTACAGAAGCAAGCACGTCCAGACCCCTTTCCCCCTTTGAGGCTGCTCCTGGGTCTTCGCATCTGGCCCTGGATCCTTTCCCCGCCCTCAGGACCCACCAACGCTTGCTTTGTTTGACCTCATCTGGGGGGACGGGGTTCGACCTTGCCCCCGACAGGAAGCTGCTCCGCCTGCCGGCATGTATAATTCCAACATGCCTTTCACCTCGTCCTCAGCTGTGCTATCTCGGGTTGCCGTCACAGCTGAGTTCTCTCTCTCTCTTCCTTTTTCCTCCTCTTCTCTCCTCGGGTGCCCACTGGCATTGCTTGCTTCCTTGGAATTGATTGCGCCCGTCTGTTTGATCTAGTGCAGTGAGGTTTAGTTGCCTGTAAACTGGAACAAGAGGCAGCCTATCAAAGACATGTCTTTTCTAATTCAAGTCTCAAGAACTTGGTGTCAGACTTCCAGTACGGATGCTTCCATGTGAGTTAGCATTAAAAAAAAAGATAGCTTTGCCTGCCCTACCCTGCACCCTAGCAGCGGCAGCTGCTCATTGGTTAGGTGTGGATACTGAGGCGAGAGGTTGATTCTACAACTTACAAGTAGGATCCAGAGGGTGGGAGGCTAATTGGACAGTTGGAAAGAGCTCTGAAGTCCATTTTGGAGTCATGGGGTCTGGTGGAGGGCAGCAGGAGAGAAAATATGCATTCTCACCCAAACGTGTGTTATTATATACTTTCCCCCTGTGAAGCAGCGGGTCCAAAGAGACTTTGGTTCCTGTTCAAAGATATTTCCCCCTCCCCATTGATACATGATAGGACGTTAAAATAAAATGTGCCCTCCCCTCAAGATGTCTTGACTCGAAAGTAGTCCGGCTAATAAATCGATACTCTTTAAAGGATGATAGATTTTGGGAAATTAATAAATGTGTTGGTTTGGGACCAGTGGCAGGTATTACCTGGGTACTGATTGATTTGTTCTGATGCATAGAATTAAGTCAATAATGAATAAGATCAAATCGTAGGGATTTACTTAGCAACAGGGTTCTTATTATATATACCGAAGGTTTGACTAGTATTTGTCAACTCAGCCCTGTACCTTTTAAAGGGGTCTTTGCTGTCATCCCCTCCTCTTTCCTTTTCCCAGATTCCACAGGGCTTCTGCTGCCCTTCAGAAAGATTCGTTTCTTCATTTCCCAAAAAGAGTTGATGGGTGAAATGGCCTCTTTTTCAAAGCTCTGCTTGAGAGGAAGTCAAGGATGTGATATTTGAGTCTCCAGACTCAAATGCCTGTCTGTGAGAAAGCATTGGCCCCTGGGAATGACTCAGAGCTACAAACCAAGAGCCAAGGGGCCGGGGAGGGAGGGAGGAAAAGAAAGTGAGAGGGAAGAGAGAAAGAGGGAAGAAGGAAGAGATGGGAGGCAGGGAGAGAGCCAGGAAGGGAAAGAAGGTCCTGCACAGAAGCAGTCAGTCATGCTACTCAAACTAGGAGATTCTTACGGGACTAGAATTAATACTACAAACTTTGGATTCTTCTTATTTGTAAGATCCTGCGCATCTATGATTCTACTGCAGAAGGAGGAGGTGGCTTTTATGTTTTCATAGACTTTTTTTTTTTTACCCTTAGCCAAACACCCAGGCCTAGAATATCATGTGCCTCTTAGGAAAGACAAAAACCTAGCAGGGTAAAGAAATGTGGACAGGAAATAATCCCAGCACAGTTGACATGCCAGGACCAGAGCTCAGATCGGAGGAGCAACCTTGGTTCTGCTTCAAGGCCTTCCTGTGGAGAGCAGTCACTGAGTCTCTGGGGGAAGTCGCTTACCTTGTTTACGCTTAGATTTCTCTGTTTTGAATGAAGTGTCTACATTTGCCTGCAGCTCTCTCACCCCGAGTTCTTCCTCAAGGCTGTAGGCCTGCATCCTCACAGCCCAGCCTGGGTTGAAGGATTGTGACCTTGAATTCAAGATACAAAAGGCAAAGCAGTTGAGAATTCAGCTAAGTGGCGCACAGCTTCTATCTGCTAGCACAAACATTGCATCTTTTTTTTTCTCTTGATCACCGTGGAAAGATAACGGGGCAGAGTGTAACAGTTCGTAGTCGACAGAAGGAGTTACAAATGAATAATAAGGAGACAGAAAATGAGAGAAGAAGGAAAATGAGTTATGTTTAGAACGGGCTGTTCCAGACTTGAGGGAAATAGCATGGCCAGGAGGGATATCAGAGGCAGAATCTAGAACAAAGTGAGCCTTTACGGGGGAGAGGGGAAGGGGGAGAGGGTTTCAATGTTCTTAATGGGAGCCTTGATTTGTACTGTTGTCGTTTCTGGAGAACAGACATGGGCCCATGTTAGTTCCTCCAGGCTGATAGCTCAGAACTAAAGTAGGCTTGCCTCAGGACGAAAGGAAACCTTCAGCTGTGTGATAGCTCCTCTCAGCCTTGGCCATTCTATCCATGGCGTGAGACGAGCCTATTAGAAAATGGAGACGGCGTGGCCTAAGCTAAGATTGCATCAGAACCGCAGGGCAATGGAACCCCAGTTAGCGCCAGTAATGTGTGGAACGGCTTGCCTTCCATCACTTCCTTATGTGGTGTTGAGTGAGAAATGCTCCCCGCTCCTGCTTTGCCCATGAGCCACGAAAACAAATACACTACAGCGTTGTCATCGTGGTCATAGGATGTCAAAGGACCTGGATGGGTGAGGAAGATTTCCCGTGCATTACCACAAACACAGCCTTAGAAAGTCGCTGTTGCTAGCATCTTCATTCTTAACTGCTTTTATATAGATGAGTAAAACCACGACGTAACTTGTTACACGTTGCCACGATAGGATTGAGTAGTAATTTGAACCAGACCAGCGGACTCATCTATCTCCTTCCTCCCCCGCACCCCCCCACAGCACATTACCAAGTATTCTAAACTTCTATCCATTCAACCGTTCCTCATATGAAGTGTGAAAATTAAGCCGTGGAAAATGATCCATGCAGTGTTCTTTGCCACATAGCTGACTGCTTTAAATCCAGAGATCCACTTTAGTACAATCTCCTCAACGATCAGGAAGCAGGCATGCAGATGAATTCCTGCATCCCAGCTTTTCCATCCGCAGAGTACTCCAGGCTCCAAGTCAAGCCAGTGGACTGAACTTAATTGCTGCCCACGTCCATGTATTAATCATTTCGGGATAACCCGGGGAAATCTCAAATTCCTTTGATCTGGTCGTCTCCTTCTAAGCAAAGGACCTACCCCATACCAGCCGCGGGGAGCTTTGCCTGGGGAAAGCCTGGTCCGGCTTTTGCAAAGGGAGAGTTGAATGGGCTCCTTGTGGTTGGAGGGTGGTGTGCAAATGTCCCTCATTATGTGGGGACACAGACCCCTGAGAACTAGGTACACTGGCTGCATAAGAAGGAGTCAGCTGATTGCTTGGATACTAATGGCTGCTGTCTACTGACTACTGAGCCTATGCTGAAAAGAAAAGTTTAATAGTCACACACGGGTTTCTCAGTCCCCTCAGATAATGTGAAAGGAAGATATTTGCTGTGCCCCCCCCATGTTACAGAGATGAAACTGAAGCATAAAGGATATATATATATATATATATCCATATATGTATATATATGTACATGTATGTATATATGATCTATCTATGTCTACACACACATAGTAAGGGAAAAGCTGGACTCTCAACCACAGCAGCCAGAACCTAGAACCAGAGCGCTCCACCGCTTGGGCCCATTTGTACGGTAGATGTGGTTTTCTAAAATCATCCGATCTCTTGTGGTCGACTGGTCCGTACCTGTTAGCATCCCGTTTCTGGTTTTTCTTTATGAATTCTAAGTGTCAGTGCACAAAGCGGGGTTAGAGTCTTGCTAAGTCACGGGAAAGGATGTTCTATTCAGTGACTGTCAGTACCCAAAGTGGGCAGTTCCCAAGAGCCGGCCCACAGGCAGGACAGGCTGCAGGGACTGCTGGAGAGTTTCTGGAAGATTCTCCCGCTTCCTTTGTCTCCTATGGTCATGAGTAGCAGACTAATCTGGAAGCGGTTAAGACCCTCCTTGGTATTCTGTACCCCCCTACCTGCCACAAACGCCCCCACAATCCCACCAGGAATTAGGGTGGCCTCTCTTCTGCCCCCACCCCTGACAGAATCTAACTGGAAACTCAGGGAGCCAGAAAGAAAGGAGCCAATTATTACAGATGCTGTCCTATAGAATACTTCAGTCACGAGCAATTTTAAGAAAAAAAATAAATCATCGCTTGCACATAGCAACATCCGTGGCCTCGAAACAGAAGTGTGAGCCTTAGAAGGGCAAAGCCGAGGCTGAGTTTGTTCCCCAAGTTTCCACGAGTCGTGTGGCTC